AAAATTTCCATCCTTACAGGTGCACAACCGAAAACATTGCCATATGTATTTGTACAGCTGGTAATTGGGTGTCTCATTTTGAGACAAAACCAATATCCTTTTTTTGTAAGCTTTGACTCCACGCAGTGAACTAAACGAATGGACTTCGCATTTAACTCCGAAGCAAAATATCTATTTAAATCAAACTATGTGTATAAGGACTGCTCACAAACAAACACACTTGTAACTCTCACTTGGTTCGACCCATCTACTCTTTTAAGAATATGAAAATTTTGCTTCTCTTGTGAATTTGAGAATTTCGGCAATCTTCTCATTATGTTAGATTTTCAGTTGGTAGTGGAATTGAATCCAAAAACTACAATCTAATTTGCTTCAACGTATTCGACGTATGTGTGCAACATAATAGTTGTGCAATACAGTCACAACTTAAGGTACCGATACTGTTTCAGGCTTGAGTTCTGCAACATATTAAGTGAATTTTTTAATTTTAAATCCATTAACCCAATTTCTTTGTCGCGTCTTCTACACCTTCTTGCCGACGTGCTATGTAACCTCACTTTTTACTCTCTGCGTTTATATTCGACTTTGCGGTATTTTCTTGCAGGTTTTACTGCAGTTGCTGCTTATAGAATGTGTCTTGTGGATGCCGGCGTCTGTGGGTGCACCAGAGAGTACAGTTGCAAAAATATAAAACCAGAAAAGAATTATAGATCACGAAAAAAGTTCGAGTCTCGGCATACGGCAGGAGGTATTGTTTGTGTCTTTAACGCCGGCAAAGCAGACAGGGGAACCTGTCGCCCCTTCTGTTACCTTTATGAAAAGTGTTAGGTATTTAAATGAAGCGAGAATATTTGAAAGGTTTTTAGTAAATTTGATTGTTATGCCTCAAGCAGAATGATTAATGAATAATTAATGAGGTTTTAATAGATTGCTAGCACACACTGTAAGTCGCACATAGGAAGCAAATTACTTGGTGAGACAAACTAGTGAATTCGAAATCGAACGGAGCACATCTGATGTACCTATAATCTATACTCGTATAAATAAATGCAGCTATTGCATTAGCTGCAGATGTGTGCGTGACTCATTGTGCTTGGCGCACAATCTGTACACTACACAAATATTGGCAATACATTATGTGTTGCTGCTGCAACCCATAAGCGTTTCCTTATGCGCTCAGCATGAATAATAAAAATAAATTTGATTAAAAATCCTGAAAACATCAACTGCAAAATGTGCGCACAGCCACAAATACTCACACACACGCACACACACTTCCACACACTTCCACACACTCACACCTACACTTACGCAGACATGTGAAATTGCATTTAAAAAATGTGAAATAAAAAAATTCATTTAAGACGCTTAGCAAATCACACTAACAATTGATGCGTAAAGGTCGTCCAGAGTGGAGGGGAGAGAGAGAGAGACGTATAAAATAAAATATGTTAAGTAAAAATATAAAACAAATTTATAACACAGACGTGATGTGGTTATTGATGGTTGTGTCCTCCCGAACACTCTGCTTGCCGTTTGCGAGTACAGCATCAATCTGCATGTGTAGGTGTGACGTGCTCGACTACATGAAGGGACATGCACGGAATCAGAAGATTTCAATGGACACATAATCGTAAAATACACCTTACGTTTCCTATGCGTTCACCTTTTCCGTTCTGAGTAAGAAGAAGTAGTAAGAAAACGGGGCAAGCTGGGAAGAGACATTGAAATGTGTGATATAGCAACTGAAAGCGAAAATAAATAAATACTAAATATTAAATGGCTGAAGAGGTCATTAACTTTGTTAAAACCAAAATCCCCATTACCCGTACCCGCGACTTTACATTTCTATCACAAAGTTGTGTGATATTTAGTCGGTTCTTGTCGATAATTGTAAGGATAGTAATAATTTTTAGTCTTCTGTATATATGGAGATGTAGTCGACACTGGTTGTGACAACATTGAAGAGATCGATCCAATCCGGTCGTTATAATCGATTATCGTTATATGCAGTGATATAAATTAAAAGATTAAGAATTATATTATGTTTTCTCGTTAATTCTTTATTACTCTACGAGTTGGAGAAGACTATTGCATTTGAACCACAAGGTATATATATATGGGCTTTATTATAACATTGATATAGTTCAGCAAATCAACATTCAACGTCTCTGCTTGAGCATGGGAATGAATGAGAATGTTAGAGAAAGAGAATTAAGAGTAGACCACGACTCCGGTAGAGTGATGAACTTGACGAAACACTAACCGCACATGATATGCGAGTATGGAAAAAGCGCGCCTAGAGAGACATGCTACGCTAGATTGAATGGATAACGCGTTGTTATATCCTTTTAAGTAAGTATTAAAAAAATACAAACATACTTATGCTTCACCAATTCATATATTATTCATACTTTGGGAAAAATAATCAGTCATTTTTTCTTTTTGTCAGTAGTCAGAACCAAAATTTCATTAATAGTCACAATAATCGCTATATTATTATATAGATGTCGGTTTTAAAAGTGTATGTCTATGTAATCGTTTTATCAGATGTTCTCATAAGCGATTTCTACTGTATATATACAGTATATATACATGACAATAGGTCCATTTCTGGTCGATGATTGTTCAGAAGTACCGGTTGCGTTACTACACTCTTACAATTAGAAGTCTTCAGAACCATGTTTATACATGGTTTCCCTTGTTATAAACAAAAAATTATTTACTTCGATTTTCGAAATACTTCGAAATTTCGTATAGACTATAAAAAGTATTGAATGAAATTATTGCTCTTGCGAAATTATTGCTCTATTAAGTACTATCTTATAACTACTGAATCAAAGTGTTCGAGTAGTACAAAGGTCGATTATACTCGAACTCGAATATTTGGTTCAAACATTTTAAATGCTCGAGTTGTTAAAAGATGTTGGACATAGTCAGCTCGTTACTCTAGACAGTGTATACCTCTATTTTTTTTTGCAAGCTTAAAGGAGTTCTAGAGATAAAAAGATTGTGAGCTCATCTTATATATATACGTATAAGATGATATATACGTATAAGCGATTGTATGAAATTTTATTTATTTAGAATGGGTAAAACAGACGATTATTAAACTTGATCAAACCATCAACTTAATGGTCTATGGTAGTAAACAACTAGATTGAGTAGATGATGTAGTTGACACTGGCCTTTAATGTTAATTTTTTAAAGGCTAAAATAGGTGGCAAATGTTACTTATGATAAGAATGTGAAGGAATTATCTATTGAAAATGTGATTGTATACTAATTTTATTGAAGAGCTTACACATATGTGAACACCTCAACTGCATCCTATGTTTCCAAGTTGGTATTGCTCGAGTGCTCGAGTTCAAGAGTAATCTATTCTATTTGCGATATAACACCCACGTTATTAAGCAAAACATGAAAAAATGATGAGCACAAACGCTCAGAAGAAGTCGCACAGTTCCGTTCCCGTACGCCACACAGCGCACACATTTTTACTATTTTAATTACATTTTTTCTCTCCAGATTTCTTGTAGGTTTTCTTGTAGAAGTGTTGGTGAAGAATACCTTTCCTCAGCCGTGCGAGTGTCTGTGTGGTTATGTAGTTGTTCTGCAAATTCCGAACTTAATTTCTTTCTGTTTGCGTTTTGCGTTTTGCGTTTCGCTCTGCTTTGCGTTGCGTTGCATCCACTCACATTGTGGGACACTTGCGGGGAGCGCACATAAAGGTGACGGTCAGCAGTAAAATGCTGATACGTGTCATTTGTTTATTGTGTGGGTTGGATTAAAAGCTAAGCACGTGCTTGTTTTATTCTTCAGTTTGAGAATAAGAGAAAAAACAAAAAACAAAAAACAAAACATCAAATAGTTCGTGTAACTTTGTGTGTCTGTGTGTGTATGTGTCGGTGGGTTTGGGTGTGTGCCGTTGCTCGTTTAACGTTGCCACATGTTAGTACCTATTCAAGCGAATTTTTATGTGCGGATAGTTACTTTTTATTCATGTTCGCTTGTCTTGCCTTCAAAGTTCCACACTTCAGCCCTAGTTTTGAGGTGTGCATGTATAAGTGTTAGTACATGTCAAAGTGCTTACATACACATATTTATGTGTGTGTGTGTGTGTGTGTGTGTGTGTGTGTGAACTCATTAAAACTCTCCGCATGTTTATGTAACTTTGCTAATTATGTAATTTTCCCTTTTGTTTTGCAATTAAAAGTGAAAAAGTTGAAAAGATTTTCTAATGCAGAATACATGATTGAGTGCACTGAGATATTTCAGAACCCGAGCTACTCCCAAAAATATTATTTTTGTTTTTATTTTTATTTTTATTTTTATTTTTACTTTTATTATATCATGTAAAATTAAATGAAGAACTTTACTTTGACTTACTTAGGTACTGCTTTCCGATGGTTTTTTTTTTTGCAAAAGTTTCGACGAAGCTTTTTTTAACGAAATCACTGGCCAACATGTGGTATGAGTAACATTGCATATACAAGCTATTGTTTGGTTATTACTATAACCAAAAATGTTCTTAATCAATACTAAAAAGATCTCTTTTCATACATTCTACCTTTTGCATAGCAACTTAGTCGACACATCAAGAACTTTGTTTATATTTCGTTGACGATGAATTCAATGACTCATCATAAGCTAACAAATTATAACAATCTATATACATACATATTTTAGAATCTTATGTCTAACTGAATATTAGTTGGAAATCTAAAGTTTGCTAAGTACTCTACATTTAGTCGTATTATCAAAAGTGCAGAAGATCTTAAGTTTGAAATTGAAAAATTTTTA